CTGTATCATTCTTTTAAAGAACCATTCTCTTCGACTTCAATGACGAGAAAATCTCAACCGACCAGTCATCATCTGTGACAGTTCCTCCTCTCCTCTCAAATTCAGCCATTCAGAGTATAATTTTCAGATTCATTCTCAGTTTAATTCGTTTTCCTATATATCCTTTACGATTTTGAACAATTCACTTGTGAAATTAGGGTTTATAGCTTTGAGTTTTGAAGTTGGTGGTTTAATTCGAATTAAAAAAAAATTCATAAATCCTGGCTCGTCCAGATTTGGTATTCTACTGTTTCTTTTCCCTTTCTGGGGAAAATGTTGCTTAAGTTTTTTGACTTCTTTCACTGATTGAATTATTATTTATATTTGGGGCTCGATTATACATCACTTTCCATTACTCCTCCTCCTTACATTTATAAATTTTATAAAATTGAGCATAATTCTTGGTGACCCTTTACTCAAAATCTTCCCTTTTCAAAGCCAGCCTTTGAAAATCCTCGTTTTCTTAATGGGTATCTATTCCTATATTCGGAATTTCGTTTTGTTTCTTTATAAAATTGTTCATAGTGGAAAACAAAAAAAATATATGTAAAAGTTTCATGCTTTCTCCGTGACTCATATGCTTCTTTTTTTGGCTGATTATAAGTCTCTCTTTTTCTTGCAGAAATCAATTGATTTTGATAGCTTTATAAGCCAATAAGTCTAATAAAGATCAAGGTGAGAAAATCAAGAACCTCCTCTTACTTGTGTTTAATCAAACGGTGTCATTTGCTTGTTTGTTTCTGCTTGGAACTTGGTCTTAAAGTAGTTTATTGTGAAGATTCGTGTACATTTCAAGTCACGTTGAATTATTATGAAAATGGTTTAGTAATGGCAGATAGCTCGTGAGTTGGGTTTTAACTTTATCCGTATATATGAATCTAGTGGAGGAGGAAGAAGTTGAGCTGTTTTTGCGGTTGGACATTAATTTTTATCAACACTCCTTATTGCATTTTCCATGTCAAATCATTCTCCTAGCTTTGATCATTTCATCGTCATTGATTGATTCTTACAAGATTCCTTGTGAAACCTTTTTTGTTATAAAAAAATTGGTACTTATATAGTGTAGATTTGTCTTTTTGGGGTTGTAGATTTCTTTTAAACTCTGTATAAAATGGGATGCTTTGCATCAACGCCGAAAGACTCTGGTGGGAACAGAAGAAAGCCAACGAGCATCGGTGAGGTTTCAGTATATGTACCCGGTTTGAGGTTACCGAGATCCGTGGAGTTTTCGCAGGCACTTGGTGATCAATTGCCAAAGACTCTAGTGGAACGTTTGACAGCTGTAAGAACGCGTATAGTAGTGATGGCTAACCAAGAAGGTCCTACAATAACAAGAACTAGGAGAAAGACACAACATGGTATATATGTCTGAGATGATCTTTGTATGTTTCTATCTTTGTTCTGCTTTCTACTGTTTAGGACTCTAAAGGAAATTGTTTCTTGGCAGGAGGTTCAACGCTTCTAGATCTCCATCAAGCTTTGGTAGATTATCTACCTGTTATCTTGGGATTAACTAAAGATGGTAATATACTATTATGTAGTCATAGAAAAAAAGATCTCTTTGGTTTCAGAGATTTATTCTAACCTTATAGTGTTTGTGATGTTCTTCAGGTAGCCATCTACAGTTTAAAGTACACTTTATTTGGGTAAATCAGGAGGATGAAGAAGAGGTGCAGTTATAATCAAAGCAGTTTTTCTTTTAGTGTCACCATAATATACTGGCTCTTTACGTATTTACTTCTAACCAGGAAACAGCGATGTCAAACGTTTGGTATGAAGTTTTGTCTGTTTTGCATCTAATGGCAATGCTACTAATGTCACGAGCCAATTTACTGCTTCTTCCTAGAGGGTTTAGTGATGGCCACAACCATCCAAAAGTATCAGAAGGTAAGGCTTCTTGGAGAAAGTTTCTCACCTATCTTTGGTTGTCTGAGGAGAATTCTCATACATTCTCTTATGTTTTGTCTCTGGACGTTTTTTATTTGATGATTTTTCTTTATAAAATGTTAATCCTATGTAATGGTAAGGCCCCTCAGACTGAAAAAACTGGTTGTTTCTTTTATTATAGAAAACAGACGAGCTTCGATTGATATCTTCTTAAAGGCAGCTGGATATCTTGACTGTGCCGTGAAGCATGTTCTCCCTCAGTTTTCTGCTGAGCAAAGGTTTATAGATGACAAAGTTTCTAATGTCAGTTCATTCTAGTTGTTGGTAATTCTGAACTGAAATTAATGGGCACAATCATTATTTCTTGTATTTCTGCAGGAGAAGTTTACCGGTTGACCTTGCAGAAGGAGTTCTACGGGCTCTTTGCTTGCAAGCACTAGGCCAGGTAAAACCTCTCTTTTTAATGGTTATGGTTAACTTATCAGTGGCATCTTACAGTAGCTCTGGGTATGTTAATGGATGCATGTGGTTTCTTTCTCTCTTTTCGGATCTAACACCTTTCAAGTTGATGATTTTTAGGGAGTTGATATCCAACTTGGTATGGCAATTGATAGCTCTAAGGCCACTCTTGCAGTTAAACGAAGACTTTCATGTGAAATGGTGAAATATTGGCAGCAGGTAAATTCTTTACTCTTATCCGATTTGTTTTGTTTAAAGTGGCTTCCACGGCTTGGAAACATCTGAAATTTTCATTAATGCTTCATTTTCCTTGTCGGTGTGGACACTGAAACAGGCACAAGATAATTTGATGAATCTTCCGTTAGCAAATGGTTGGGGAGAAAAGCATAGACTCTTTGTTAAGTGGAAGTATGTTGAAGCTAAGGTACTGTTTTGCGGTCTCTCCCTCGCTCTCTTACTCCTTCCATTATGTAAACTTGTCTGGTCCTTTTCAGTTATTGTCCTGAGCTATGGCTGCAGTGTGTTCTGCCCTTCCTTGTAAACTCTCTGTCTCTATAAGACACATAACGGAGTCTATCTCTTGATATTGAGCTTAAATGCGATAGGCGATTAAGGTCCATTTGTCTAATGTCATGTTTCATCTTCTGGAATCTTTGGATCAGGCTGCGGCTTACTACTATCATGGTTTGATTCTTGATGAAGGAAACACAGAGAAATCACATGGCATGGCAGTTGCTGCTTTACAAGCTGCAGATGAATGTTTCAAAGAAAGTAAGAAAGCATCCGAAGCATTCAACGCCTCTTCACCTACTTCAAGGTAACTTCTTTCTCTTTATATCGGTATTATTCTGAAGCTCATTTGGTCAGAGATTTAGCTGTTGTTTTGAACATCCTTTTTTTTCTGCAGGACACCACCGCTTTTTGGTACAATGAAGTATCTAACAGAGAAAATCCCGAAAGATACTTCAAGTAAAGTCAGGATAAACCGCGATCTATACACTTATGAGAAGTGAGTTTGATCTGACTTTCTTTCGTTTGCAGTGTTACATATAAAGCCCAGTTTCTTTTTATATATCTGATAATGCTCTCTGATAAACAGAATCATGGAGACGGCGCCAACACTTCCTGATTTCGCTTTGGCATTGAAACCAGATGAGTATCAACTTCCTCTCGTCGAAGCTTCTTAGGCTAAAGATACTCTAAAACGCTTCAAAACCAAGTTCATTGCAATCGAAGACCTTATAGAGCAAAAGGAATCAGTGGTTTCCAATGGCTGCCTGCAAAACTATGTGGTACGGCTATATAGATTACTCAACCGGTTTCCATGTTAAGATTTTTCTTTATGTTCTTTGTTGTATCGG